CCCGCCCCCTGCCCCCCCCAGCCCCCCCAGCCGTTTGCTGGACAGCAAACCCACCAGGCGGCACGTGCCAGCCGCAGCCCGGCCCTGGCCCTGGGTGGGGGCCTTGGAGCCAGCAGGGGGCGAGGGCTGAGTGGCCTCAGGCACCCCTGGCTGCAGCTGGGGGGGCACCTCTCGGCGGCTCGGGGGCACAGGGTTGCTCTGCAGGGCGGGTGAGAAGGGGCTGAAGGGCGGGACTCTTGGAGGGTCCTGGTCAGCAGCAGCTGGGCCCTGGCTGGCGCAGGGAGGGTCAGCCTCCGCACCTTCCCCAGGGAGACCTGGCTGAGGGGGTGCAGGCACGACGTGGAAGCCGGCAGGGGCCACGACTTCAGGGACCACCAGGGCTTCGGGAGGGATCCTGGGCAGCGAGAGTCTCCGGGGGCCCCCGCAGGCAGAGCAGGAGCTGGCCACAGGCGTGTTGTGCAGCGTGCAGCGTGGGCAGGCCCAGCCGCCGGCCCCGGCCGGGCCCTCCTCCTCGTGCTCCCAGTGCCCCGGGGCCAGCTCCGCAGAGCCCGGCCCGGGCGTCCTCACGGGCCCTGCCTCCTCGCTGCCGCCCTTGGGTTCCCCAGGCACCCCGTTGAGGACCGGCAGCGGGGCGGCCCCGGGCACAGTCACTGGGGCGAAGCCGCACACGGCGCAGGCCCCTGTGCCCAGGAAGTTCCGGAAGGCGCAGCGCGCACAAGCCCACCTCTGCTCCTCCACGCTGAGCCGCAGGATCTGCTCCAGGTCGGGCTTGTGCCGGGGGGCCTCGCAGATGGTGCACTGGCGCTGGCCCGCCGGGTTCAAGAAGGTGCAGCGAGCGCAGGCCCACTCCCCGACTGCGGCCATAGCCCCGGGCGAGCGTGTGTGGCTGCAAGGGAAGACCCGGGTCAGCACAGCACCCCTCCCATGACAGGTCACAATGACCAGAGCCCCCGCCTGGGGCCGTTGAGCACGTGGCGGGCTTTTGGAGCCTCCCCTATGATGGGTCTGCAGCTAGCCCTGAGCTCAGGCCCTGGTCCTGGACAGGAGACCACTGGACTACACTCCTACCTACCAGACCTCCCGGCCCAGCGCCAAGGTGGACACTTTGGGGCTGTGGGACCTCGGCCTGGGAGCTGTCATGCTGCCCGAGCGGAGGACGTGCCGTGTGCTCCTCGGGCTCCGGGGCCGGGATGTGGGGCACGGTGGTGGTTGTCCACTTAGGCCGCCGGCTGCCTGCAGGCCTCAGGCACAGCCCTCGTGCAGGCTGGGCCTGTGCCTGGCCCAGCTGGTCTGAGTCAGGAGGGTGCTTGGGAAACGCCAGGGCAGTGGGTGGAGCTTTCGGCTCCTCCAGGCCAGGCAGGCAGGGGTGGGGCTCGCAGGGCTGGTCAGGTGAGGAGCTCTCTCCACTGCACAACACACAGGCTCCTCAGCCCAGCTTAACACTCTGCCTAGCAGAAAAATCGATTGTTCTTTGTAATGAGGCATGAAGCCTGCACTTCTAACGGTGTGTTTCAGCTAAGGCTTTTTGGTTCAGGAATAAGGAAAACTTCCCTCTTCAAAAAAAGTCCCCCAAAACCAAAAACTCTTGCCAAGCAACATGACGGTTTCCCAGAGCCCAGGGCAAACCCCTGATGCAGGCTGAGGGCCGCGGGAAGAGAGGGCAGGACCCAGCTGGCCCTCCCTGTGCCCATATGGCTGAGGCTCCACGCTTCCGACACTCCATGCCCAGTGGGGCTCCAGGGCCCTGGGGTGAGTGGACAGTTGAGGACATGCTGGGCTGGACTCAGGGCACCCAGCAATAGCTGGGCAAGCCACACCCCTCCCTCCCTCCCCACTGGTGCAGGCGGCAGTCGGCAGAAGGGGCCGGCCCCCC